CTGTGCGGCTCTGAATGAACTCCTTTTGTGGACGCGTTCTTCACGCAACAACGTGCAGAAACACAACAACTAAACTCTACAAATTCACAGCGTTTTATTATAATAGTGTTCTCATTATAATGTTATGTATATTAAAGTGAAACTTAAATATATAGGGGTGGTTGAATTTATTCACGCACGTTAAAATATTTAATTTAAGCTTCTTTCTTTTCAGATTCTTATTTACAGCATTATTTTAATAGGCTGTATATTAACTTGTTGGGAGAAAACCAGTAGTTCTATGTGAAATCAGACATTTGAGCACCCTCATATAGCCAAAATGGCATGATCATAACACCCCGCGAATATTCGACTGTGAGATTGGTAGTCGAATCAGGCTCCTCCTATCGAAGCACCGAATCTTCGTCACCCCTAGATGATAATAAAACTTTTGAAGTCTTTTTTAAATTTTTTTTTTATAAGTCTGTAATTTTACATTCTCATAGTGACAACCGACCAGTTCCACTATGTTTTATTATTTATTATTTTACAGCTGTATTATATTATATTTCAGTATGGTTTGATGATACTGCTGTGTAATGTGACTTGTTTTTTTTCTTTTAATTTGTTTCAGGTCCATTACCAGGATTAGCTATGGCAACTACAGTGAGTAACGCTATCAAAAACCGGGCATCTAATGAGGAGATTCTTATTGTTCTAAAAGATGTCCCTAATCCAAACCAGGATGATGATGATGGTGGGTCTGCCTTTAACATCTTTAGTCTAGGCCTAGAGCTATCAATTGATTATAAATATATAATTGTTAGAGATATTTAATAACTTAACACAATATTTATTATATATTTCCATAATTCATAATGCATGTATATACATATTACATATTTCTTTTCCAAAAGCATTTTTATATTATTTGTTTTTATCTTTAATTGATTTTTATTATTTTATTAATGTTATTCATTTTAATTAATTATTTTAAATTGTTGGTCTTCTTAAAAGGTTATTACACATATACACTAAAAAAAATTATTAACTGGTTTTATTCGATTAAAAAATAGTTTAACATCACTGAACCAACCTATATACATTAATTCATACCAGCAAAACTAATTTATATGGGTTAAATCAGGTAGAAGTAGCTCTTTAAAGTAACAATTGCACATTACCACTATTTACAGTTTACTTTTACCAATAAAAGCAGAGAATTTTGTCATGATACTTTGAATTTGACACTGTGTATTATGAGTATATTTGGCTCTTATTACAGATTGCTTGATGTTCCTCATTTGTATATCGCTTTGGATAAAAGCACCTACGTGAGTGATTGTACAGTCATGGCCAAAAGTTTTGGCAGTGACATAAATTTTGTATTTTGCAAAGTTTGCTTTTACTTTACTTTTAGTCATTTAGCAGACGCTTTTATCCAAAGCGACTTACAAATAAGAAAAAGTAATTAAAACTAAAAGCTAAAACTCTATAAATACTATATATATACATTTAAGAAAATAAAATAAATTAAATAAAAATGACAAATGCATACAACAACATTTCAAAACTAAAACATTTAAATAAAAACAAAAAAATAAAGCTAAAAACAATTAAAACATACACAAATAAGAAAAAGTAATTAAAACGAAAAGCTAAAAGCTTTTAAGAAAATAAAAGAAATTAAATAAAAACGACAAATGCATACAACAACATGTCAAAAATAAAACATTTAAATGAAAAAATAAATAAATAAATAAAGCTAAAAACAATTCAAACATACACAAATAAGAAAAAGTAATTAAAACGAAAAGCTAAAAGCTTTTAAGAAAATAAAAGAAATTAAATAAAAATGACAAATGCATACAACAACATTTCAAAACTAAAACATTTAAATGAAAACAAAAAAATAAAGCTAAAAACAATTCAAAAATATTAAAAGAACAAAAGGTATGAGTATAATAATGATTCTAACATAACACTAAGCCAAACACCAAAAAAACAACTACATATGTGTATGTACAACCACACACACA